GCATATGTAGGGGCATTTTGAAATATTTGATGGGGTCTTCTAAGGCAGCTCGTAGAAGTTCGTGTATGTCGTGGTCCTTCTACATTTGTCCATTTTATACGAGTAGATTATCGTGCACTACTTGCCGCTTTCGGCAGGTGGATTATAGTGCACTAATGAATCTCCTATTATTGCTTATAGATGTTTGCGTCCACTGCAATTCTTTTATTGTACATAGTGTATTGTTTATATTATGAGTTTCATAGAACGACCCATAGGAACTTTCACTTATTGTAGTCCATTATCATTTTACTCATAAATGATTTCTAGTATGTATGATGTGTCTCTTACAAGGGCCCATAGGTGTGTTTGCATTTGCTACATTCCTTATGTATTTTGCTACAATCTTTAGTCTTTATAGTACATCTGCTATTATTGTTTGCAGGCAGGTAGATGTATTCATTTACTGATTGAAATTGACTACATTATACTATATTCACTAAAGTCTTTATGCATCTACCCACAGGTGGCATGTGGTGGATATGACAGGTCTTCTATAATCTCATAGATATTTGGACCTAGCTACGTATCATCAGCTCATGCTTGTAAGGAGCCGGTGCATTCGTCTGATGTTGGGCAATTGTTTGCTGTGGAGGTATTGTAGTGTCTTTGCAAAAATAACTAGTAGGTACTTTGAAAAAGTTGAGGACATGATTTCTTTGTCCCACCCACATATACTACAAGTGTACTATTTTTTAACTATAGAAGACATGTTGTATGTACATCTGCATCTTGATTTTGATTGCAGTGTTCCTTTGGTTTCCTTTGAGGTGTTGGTAGGATAACCGCCATATCCAAGATACATTCAATGTTATCAGTTGTTGATGAGCTAGGAGGGTTCAGGTATCCTCTTGAGCTTAAATAATTGTCGATTATAATTAGGAGACAATAGTCATATACGGGTTGTATCAATCATTTTTATTCATGGATGCCACGTTGCATTTGCCCACCTTCTCCCTGCTTTACCTATGAGCACGACATTGCATATTTCTTACTACCATTCATGCATACTTCAATGATTGCATTACAACGTTCCCATTGCTCTTGCTCATAAATGATGCATTTATTGTTCATTGTATACAATGAATCTTTTGTTTGCTCATTGATGTTTGTATGTCAGTTGGCATGCTAATATTTTATGTTGATTGAAGACTTTGTCCTGTTGATGGTAAGCATGCCATTACATTTCCATCTGATTGTTATTCAGGGATGAATTATAGTTGTGCTTGCAGGAGTTTGGTATATCGGCTTATGTTTGTAAAACTTGCATATTCCAGCTCTCCTTTTACTTGCACATTCATGTTGCTTATGAGCAAAATAACAAATTATGCTTACTAATGCTTCAACATAAGTCCTCCATCCCTTTATTGATCTTTATTTGCATGATCAAATTCTTTGATCAACATTTATATTTTTTTAACATGTTCATACATTCATCAATTTAGAGTTTAAAACTGTATTATTCATTTGAGTTTAAGTTATATGTAATGTTGTCCAATTCAAGCTTTAGTTAATGTATAATTTGTTTCATTTGAGTTCAAATCCAGTTACAAGTTTGAGTCCAAGTTCATTTCATGATTCAGTGTCATTTATTTAATGTTCATTTGAGTCTGAAATAGGTTCCTTGGTGTCCAAATAAAGTCCATTGTATATTCAAGTATTTTTCATTTTTAGACAAAATTTCGGCAGCCTCCCGGTGTCTCCCCTATTTAAGAGAAATTATAGGAGTCTGGGCCTTCCCACCACGCCAATAAAAGTGTGTATGATATGTGTTCGCAGACTCCATGACCGTAGTCTTCATTCCAACCATGCCAATAAAGGGGTGTATAAGGTCTTCAAAGGTACCTATTTTATAAGACACTTGGCTATCCCTTACTCAAAGGTACTTATAAGTAACCCTGCCTCGCATAAGCATCGTACCGGATTCCCATTCCACCGCATTAATAAAAGCATATATATGCAGTTTTCTGGTACACCATGGATGTCGAAATGAGACTTTTGATGATTACCCGCTTCATCGCAAACATCACGACGAACTTCCTCCCATCACGTTAAGAAAAACATATATATGTGTTTATTTTTGCCACGCTGCAAGCGTCAAAGATGGGCTCTTGAAGCTTTGAGTTTTGAGAGTTTATACCTTCGATATGGTAGTGGCGACGATGAAGAAAAAATTTGCAAAATGCATCAAAATATTTCATTTTTTTTCTTTTTTGGTTTATTTTTCCTCTCTTTTTCTTTTTTGTCCTTTTTTTTTTAAAGAAAGTCATAGTTTGTTTATATATATATATATATATATATATATATATAAAATAATGGCGATAACAGTAGTTAACTAATTAGCAGCTATATACATATGTGCAGGTTGAAATCATGTCGGGTTTAGGAGGAGGATTTCGGCTCGGGCTTGTGGATTTTAGCCGAGGACTGCGGCAAGAGGAGAGCAAATAGGTTGAAGGAGTCATTTTGACTTGGGAGGAATCTGGCAAAAGATTGGTGTAGGCAGTGGCGGAATCACATAGAGCTTAGGTGGGGCAATTGCCCTTCTCCCTAAAAAATATTTTTTTTTATAGGAGAGTAAAAAAAATATTTTGCCCATCCTAAAAAATCTCTTCTGCCTATCCTAAAAAACTATTTTGTCCTAAAATGCAATGTTTAAAAAATACTATCGGACCGGCGAATTCGACCGGTTCAACCCTGAACCAGTCACAAGACCGGTCCGGTTCAGTCTTAAAACAGCTTCTGCATTGAACCGAACTAAACTGGTCAGAAACGCCGGTTCAACCAGGGAACCACTGAACCGACTACGATATTTTGAACCGACCGGTTCAAATCTTTTCAAATTTTAAATATTCTTTTAAATAAGTAAACTAATATATATTTAAAACATTTAATTTGAATTCTAATACATTTTTATTACAAATATTTGTCCTCAAATCAACTCCATGTAAGGAAACTCAAAATGCTAAATAAACAATAGCAATAAAGTATTTACAAGAGATGATGTGGACTTAAAAAAAGAGGAGAGGTATGTATGAGTTCATAACATATATGATGCCTATAAATTTTATTTTTAAACAGAGTTTTAAATTAATTATTTTTTATGTGAATGATAATTATTTATTAGTTAATAATAAAATTTTATTTATTTATACATCAGAAAAAATAATTTATCATTAATAATTTTTATCTTATTTATTAATGATTTTATGATATAAATTTATAAAATAATTTTGATATACAACATAAACATGTATAATTCATATAATGTAAAATACGAATAATTTATATTAAATTTATAAACTTATATATAGAATTAAATTTATATTAAATATGTAACATAAATTAATAATAATTTATATAAATTATATGGTTATATGTAAATTAAAATTTAAATTAAAAATAATTCTTTTAAAAAAATGATAACATTATTATTTACTTAATTATATAAATGATAACATTATTATTTTACTTAATTTTTATTTTTAAAAAATGATAACATAAAACAATTCTTTTATGTGAGATTTTAAAAATAATTATTTTACTTAATTATATAAGTTTTATGTTTCACAATTTTTTTTAGTTTATTTTTTTTTTCATAACTTTAAATGATAACTTTATTATTATGTTATTTTTTTAAATTTCAATAATATTTATTATTTATTATGTCATCCGATTCGCCCCAGTTAGACCGATCGAACCGATCGAATTATGAACATCTCATTCTTCCGGTTCGTTATGCGGTCCAATTTTTAGAGTCTTGCTAAAATGTCTATATAATTTCTTATATATATATATATAATTTTTTAATATTTAATTATTTTACATTGTACTTGCCCAATCAAAATTGAAGCTGGTTCCGCGTGCGGGGAAATGGCTTGAGGTAGTCGGATGGGTTTGAGAGGCACTGGAGAAGGTCACGGCTTTGATGTGGTCGGCCTTAGCGTCGGGTGAGGAGGCCGACGAGAAGAAGAGGTGGCTGGAGAGATTCGGTTGGAGAAGCAATGGGGCGGACGGGATTAAAGGGCTCGCCAATTTTGAAGGTCGGCTTGGCAGGGATTTGGCGTGAGGTAGGGATTCGGCTCAGTAAAAGGGGCGTCGGTTCTACAGGTAGGGGCGACGGGTGCTTGCTGTTTGCGAATGGAGGTTCCGGTTTGAGTAAGTGGACGAGGCCACCGGGAGGTTGTGTGAGGTCAGAACTAGGGCGGAGAAGATGAGGGGAAGTCGGCACAGTGAAGACAGTTGAAGGATGGCTTTGGCTTCGTTTGGCTATAGGTGTTGATGGAATCGTGGATTGAGGGAGTAGAAAGGGAGTTCGGTTGTATGCAGGGTCGCAAGAGTTGTGAGAAGGGAAGTGGCTTGCGGAAGTTCTGCGTGAGGAAGAGCCGAACCTAAGCCCATTTCGTCTTCGTTTTATTGACGTGAAGAGGAGCGTGGCCGCAGGATTTGTGCGAAGCGACGTTTCGGAGCTGAATAACAGGGAATGGGCGACTGTAGATGCGACGGGAGCAGCATTTGAGCAGAATTTGGCTACAGGTAATCATTTCTAACTTTATTATAAACAGAACTTCCTGAATTAAATGGTTGAAATCTTGTAACTTTATTATAAAAAAAATCTGTGATAATTAGAGAGGATGCCAATCTGTTCATAATCCTCAATATTTGCATCTCAAGGACAACAATGATTTTCAAAGAAACAAAATAGAGAAAAATAGCTCTGTTCATACAGTTCATATACATCAAATGCTTAACATTATTACAAAAACTGATTTCTAGACTCATTAACTTTTTATTCTTATTTTTATACATGTATTTAATACATATATACATACATACATACAAAAAGCATGATTCAAATTGAACTCACTCATCTCATTTCATACAATATATAGTTACTGAAGTTTTCTATGGTGCAATCTTCATTTCCAAATCTCTGCTGTTGTTACTCTATGCAATTCCAGCTAGTTCAAAGAAAATGTCAGAACTGCATTATAGTACTCCACAACGGATTATTGTGCTGGTTTAACTGGAGATTCACAAGATTCAAGGTCTATTGATGTGGAACGTTGTAGCTTAGTTTTTGATTTTGATTTCTTATGCGAAATTGCAATGGCAATGTCATTGGGGAAGAGACTTTTGAACACAAAGGCATGGAGGATTGTGTAGATCAGAAGAATTGATACTATAAATGTTGAGATGATTGAGAGGGTAAGAGCTAGAGCTTTTGAATTAAGATTATTGACTTGTTCTGCATATCTGATTGTTGCGATCGCAGCTCCGGCCATTGGAAACGTGTAAGCCCACCATGCTAGTGAGAACCTGTTAGGGAGACAGTAGGTTCAGATCAAGCAGTTCATGATATAATATAAGTTTTGATGATATTATTATAATGAACGTGAAATGAGAGGGGCATTTCAAAGCTACCTGAATCCTCTGAAGAAGTTGACACGAACAGCCTGCATATACACACAAAGATGTTGAAAAGGATTAGATTAAAGACAACTAAGGATCTTCTGAACTATTTATTTAGATTTCTTGATGGATCAGCTTCTTCTTATTATAAGTTCATTTGTTTGAATAATTCATTTTATTTAGATAGCAAAATCTCTAAATTAGTAACACATATATGATAGATCACAATGTGTTTAACCTGAACTCAAGCATCTCATATACTATGAAATAACCAAAGAGTTTAGACATAGAGAAACTTACTAGAGAAGAATATAGGAACATGGCGATGAAGTAAGGAATCCTTGCACCAATACCAAATTCACCAGAAATTTTAGCCCATGCAGTGCAAGCAACACTAGGTGCAGCTATAAATAAGAAGAAGACCGGATGAAGCTCTTTTGTTAATGTCTCATTTGTTGGAAGCCTCTGATATAAAGTAACAAATAACACACTGTAGTGTGCTAAACCAACAGCAAAGAAAAATATAGGCCCTTCTTTAAGTCCCAAACTTGCACCTAGCAACGAACCGACAAAGTTTCCGACAACTGCCAAATGATTTGATGGGTTAGCCACCTTCGAAAGTTTTCGTTCGCCGCCCAACATCCATTGGCCATAGATCTTGAGATCAAGGGAGAGTATTGGGGCCATGAGCACATACCATGCTATTTGTGGAATGTTTTTGCCTACATGTGGGGGCAAACCTATTGCGAAAAAAAGACAAGCAATCCATGGTGCAAAGAAGAAGTTGATTCTCACAGGATGATAATATTCTCTTTTTACTGCTTCAAAGTAAAATATGACCTTAAGAAGATAAAGGGAGGCCACCAAGCTAAATACTCCAATTGCAATGCACCAAAGGACCAAATTGATTGTTAGGCTTATATTCATAAAGCTCATTGTGGGAGATAAAGCCAACGCTTTCCATAGCATGGCTTGGCTTCCCACACCAAGGCACATACCAAAAGAGGATATTGGAAACCTAAGTAGAAATGGCCATGTCTTATCTTCAGGTAGAACCAGCTTCTCTGATGCCTGAATATTGCAGGAAACCAATTATTCATGTTTCTAATGACAATGTAACATATAACATTTATATAAACATGTAAACAACAACATCATGAAAACAATAGGGAATTTCATACTCTCAAAGTGTCCAACTCTGGCCCTTCCAAGGCGTCCAAGTAACGGTCTAAAGCAGGCAGAGATTCAGCTTCTGTCTCTTGTGAATCACTGATAGTATTTAGCTCAATCGGATTTCCGCGAAAATTTGATATCTGCCTCTCTAATTTTCCTGACCATGTCTTGAAATTATCATACCTTGCGTCATTGGAACTTTCAAATCGCGGCAACATCGAAAATCTACTTGCAGAAGAAACACTCGCACACATGCGTCGCGAGAAGTTCCTTAAATGTTTGATTGCCGTAGCGTTGCTTGAATCGCCATTTTCTGGAAGATTTTGTTGGTCATTAATGCCAATATCTATTACGGCATTATCGCCAAACATAACCTTTAGGGTTTGGTCGAAATCTAGAGGAGATTCAGAAACAGGAAAGTTGATTGTAACAGACTGAGATCGATGGTGAAATTCTTCTGGTTCGGTGGGAAGACTTTGGGGATGAATATCAATGCTTGCAGTTTTGCCTTTTGCTTCCTGAAATGATAAAAAGAATGAGCTTTTTCTAAAGTCATAATGAAATTATCAAGCAAAAGGAAGTAGATTTTCGAATCATCAAACCTCCAAATCCATATTGTAATTCGTGAACTGGATTTGATTAAGAAGAAAGTGCAACTTGAAGGAAAACACATTGGCTTAATATACTTGCCAAGAACTTCACTTTTCCATTTTCTCAATTGAACTTTTCATGGAAGAAAAAGTATTATTGAGAATGGACAAGCAATAGAACAGTACAGAGGCAGGTGGTGATATACAGCCAAACTTTCATTTTTTTTTTTAATATTTTATGGAAATGGTGATGTAATGTAAATAAATTTATGAAATTGAGCAAAAGGATGGACATCTGGAAAAAAATCAAAGTGTTTATTGATCAGGATGTTATGGCTATTTGGAGGCATTCAGAGCACAGATGAAAACAAATAATTTTCAGTATTTGATGTGATGAAATCTATGCACTATTTTACTATTTCTTAAAAATTTTCTTCCCCAAGGATGGAATACGTTTAGACTAAGGCTTCGTTTGAGACAGCTTTATTACCGCTTCTTAAAGCGACTTTTTAGTACAAAATTTTTAATTTTTTAATAAAAGGCCTTTTTAAGAAGCAAGAAGAAAGCCGTCTCAAATGAGGCCTAAATAAAAAGAAAATTTGACCAAAAAGAGCAATTAAGTTCCTCTTAGGGATGATAGCTATGCATTAAAGTAAAATCTTGATCCTTAATCTCTTCAGTTTCAATCAATTTGGCATTGATTGCAATTTCCTTTGGCTAATTGATAGCTTGTTTTAAATTAATCCAATTCCACTTGAAATCATTGATAAATCTATATATACACAACATGTATGCACACATGCATCCATGATTAATTATATCCATGCATTCATACATACATATATAAACGCAAGATCCATGCGCAATCGATACTCGCCGGTTTTCAATGCATAGGTCAGATTTGAGACCTAGCGACTACGTCAGGAAAGATTTCTCTTCTAATTATGCGGGTATTACTTCTCGTGCGGATTTAAATTTGCATTTGATCGTGCACCCAAAAACAAATCTATCATATCTTTAAAAACATAGACTTCAATCCTTAATATTGAATACATGAAAAATATTTATGCTTACATGTATGATATAAGCAACATGAAAAAATCTGCTAGAAATCAATCATTTTTTTTGCTGACTGGAGTTTACCACTTCAAATTAAAAATTTTGAGCTGAGAGAGACTCTCACAAACTGCTTCATAGTCATCACACTTGGATAAATTATCATTTCCCTTTGAAAACAGAAAAAGAATAAAAAAGAATGAATCACCTTGAAAAAAACAAAATCAGTAGGAGAACTGTTCTGGGAACCAAAACCAGGTAGCTCATGTGGTGGCTTGGAATTGAGAAAGATAGGGACTTCTTCAGCTATATCCTCCTTGAAGGATCCAGCTGCATTCTGGTCTTTCATTATGTATTCCACAGCTGAACTGCAGCAAAAGCAACAGATGCTTGAAATAATAAGAAACAATCATGAATTCTTCAAGCTGATCAGGATTAATAAAAGTTAATTATGATATAAGATTAGATTAACAACTCAAATTAAGGTTGATCAACAAAAAAATAATTAGGATGCAAAGTAAGCAAGGGTTGACTTGCTCTAAATTTATGATTAAATTTGCTAAATTGAATTTATGGTCTTTGGATAGAGAAACTAAGAAATTGGTAGGCACAAAATGAAAGAAAGACTAATTTGTAGGCTTTTGAGAAGGTAAATACATTACAATATATTTAAATTTTCTGCAATAGAAATGCGTTTGGAATTGGAATGCATAAGAGTCAAAACATAAAATTATTGATCTTAATAGGGTTACTGATGGAATTATTTTTCTTAAGATTAGTAATAGCAAGGATATTATGAATATGGTTGGAACTTATGCTCCTCAAATTTGATTCTAAAATGTTTTTAAAAATTAATTTTGTAAAGAAATGGAAGAATTATTGTACCATATTTTTTTAGGAAGAAAGAGTATTTATTGAAGATGATTTAGGCCTTCTTTGGGACGGCTTTCTTGCTGCTTCTTAAAACAGTTTTTTAGTATAAAAATTAAAACTTTTGTACTAAAAAGTTGCTTTAAAAAACAATAAAAAAGCTGTCCCAAATGAACCCTTAATTACATGGAAATATAAGTTTTAGTTGAATAAGATATAAGAAGATTCGTTGTGGATATGGAATATGGAATAGAAATATAATAGGATAAGCCTTACTTGATGTCACAATACGGGCGAATTATTACGTCGAGTCACCTGACAGAGAAATATCTCCGGATTTCTCGGTCTACAGTAAAAGCGCAGCTGCTACAGTAACTGTGCTTTACTATAGATAGAGAGAAATCCGGATGTATTTCTTTGTCAGGTGACTGGACCTAATAATTTGCCCACAATACGATACAATTTTGGAGTAGAGAACACTTACTTTAAAACTAAGTACATTTCATTTGGGACAACTTTCTTATTGCTTTATCTTTTAGACAAAAATCATAATTTCTATTTGGCCATTGCTTTTCACAGCTTTCAAAAAAAAATTTGTACTAAAAAACTACTTTCATCAAAAGCTTTAAAAAGGCATTTTCTCTATAACAGTTACATAAAGCAGAAAGAAAGCTATTCCAAACAAAGCCTTAATTATATATAAAATAAAATTAAGTGATTTAAATGTATTTTATCAAAGAGTAGAAAATCAAAATACAAAAGTATTATTAGAAGATTAGGAAGAAAAATAGGCCGACTTATGGTTATATGAATAGATGCCATAAAAATAATTCAGAAAAAAGAATATTTACGAAGCCAATGGTTGGAACAAGGCTAATGACGTTGAATTATGGCTTAAATAAAGATTAGGAAATCAATTCAATTTGTGATTTTCTATTAATTTAAACTCATTAATTAATAATTATATAACAAATTAGTCTATAAAAGCATAGAAAAAATAATTAGCACATTTAATTAGGTTAATTAATTTAAGAATTAATTGAACTTAAAATCTTAATGGTTCTTAAGTCGCGCCTTTGTTTGTAAGTTTGTTAATATATGTAAGCTTCCTATACTTAGTGATTGGCATTTGTACAAAAGGAAGATGAGAAGAAAAAATCCAAAGAAACTATAACAATTTCACAATAGAATATTGGGAAATAAGTTTATTTATTTATTTATTTTTAAATTATATTGGGATCCCTTTTATTTTTTTAGGGTTTAGTTTGTTTATATATTTGACATTAAATAAAATATATTTGATATTGTAAAATATATATTTTTGTTTTTATGAGATATAGAATAAGTTTATTTATGTGATGATAGTGGTGGTTGCTGATAGGCCTGCTGTATATACAAAATAAATATATTTTAAAAAAATTAAAATAAAGCATAAAAAATAAAATGATCCCAAGCAGGCCCTGAACTTTTTTACTAATTTTACTATTTTATGTGGAATCAATAAACATATTCATATATTGATTATTGCAAATTTTTTATTGGGACATTTAGGCCATTTAAGGCAAACTCACACACACAACGCATACACAGAGACTCGAATCTTAGACCTCTTAGTTGGAAGCCTTAGCTCTCAACCAATAGGCCAAGGAGAGTTGTGTAATTTTTTCTTTTGATAATAACATTAAACAAAATTTTCATTAAAAAATAAGATGAGAAATGCACTTTGATAAAATTTAATTCAATTTAATTTTGAACTGCTTGTTTGATGATTATATATATAGTGAGGGCCTTGGGACCCCCACTGACCCACTAGACTAATTATTTTTATTTAATATGAAAATCAAAAAGTCAAATTTGGAAATTTATAAAAATTAAGTGATCTAATTATATAATATTTCTCTTATCTATATTATTATGCAAATAAAATTCATATTTTGATGAGATGAAATCAAATGTTTCATTGCAGGTTCACTTTTTTATTTTTAAAATTATAGCATTATATTCAAGTAAATTAAAATTTGTATTATATAATTTATTTATTTTTAATAACTAATATAATAAAAGAAAATTGAAACTATTAATACTAATCTTAAGCCCTAATGAAAAAAATATATACATTAAAAGTATTTTTAAAATCAATAATTTGCACCCCAACAAAAAAAATCTAGGCTCATCTATTAATACGTGCGTGCACACACAGGCACACGTAATTGCTTGCCTAGAGAGAGGTGACTATGCGTGTAAACACGTCGAACTGAGTTTTAGTCTCCATCGATTTGAGCTTGGATTTGATTAATTAATTGACCTCGAGCTTTATTCTACGAGTTTGAGCCAACTCATTTACTATGAAAGAGAGTAATAATTATGATTTAAGAAATTATTACAATAAAATAATTAAAAGAATGTGAAATAAGAAGTAAAATAATAAAAAATAACTTAATATAAGAAACTGAGAAATAATTTTCAAAAGTTTTAAATATTTTTTTACTTAAAATCTTAAATGTTGAAATACTTTAAATGCCTTATACAATAATTTTTTTAAATGAGCCAAGTTTGCAAGCTAACGATCAAGTCGAGTCAGCGCTAACTCAAGCTTGGCTCATTAGCTCATTGAGCTAAGCTCACAAGCTATTTATTAAGCTGAGCCCAAATCGGATCGACTCACTTACACTCATAAAGGTGATAGGAGGAAGAAGAAGAACAAAGATGAAGAAAACTAAAAAGGACTGAGTAGAAGAAGATACCAGCTCTCACAATGCTGAGACTGTTTTTTTCCTACCCTCTTAGAAGAAGAACCAGTTTCTTCTAATAAGATGCGTATTAGCCTCTTACTATGCTTTTTATAAGTGATAGAAATG